GAACTGACCCAGACTAAGTCGCCTACTTGRAACTGTGAAGGGCGACGATCTTTGTTCGCTTGCTCTATCATCTTATGCTGGGCTTTCCTGAGGTTCTCTACAACAGTAGCTAGTTCTTTCTCATGCTGTACAGCAAACTCCCTGGTCCCGGGTGGCAACCTGTGAATCTGATCCTGGTTGAGTCCTTCAAAGGGTCTACGGGGTCTAAAGGACTTGTGCAGTTCGTTGGGAGTGCGACATGTAGACTGATGCACGCTGTTATTGTACGCACTTGCTACTTTAGGCAACATCTCATCCCAGTTAATCTGATCGGGCCTAATGTACATACGCAGAACCTGCTGTAGGATCTTGTTCATGTGCTTTGTCTGACCGTTAGTCTCTGGATGRCGGACGGACGACATCAACAACTTAGATCCATATACTCCCATGAGTTCTTGCCAGTTCTGGCTAGTAAAGCGACTATCTCTATCGCTAACTATAGACAGTGGGATTCCATTCTTGCTCACCCAACAGTCAAAAAATCTCTGTATGACTAAATCAGTACGTGCCTCTGAAGGCAAAGGAACAAAAACTGCGTACTTACTAAAACGGTCAACTATGACCATGACTTGGCTCTTGCCATACCTACTCTTGACTCGAGTGTCCATGAAGTCTATGGACATTGAGTCTCCCGGCTGTTTCGGAATGGGCAAGGGTCTGAGAAGACCTAGCAGGGCGCGCGTATAACTCTTGTTGCGCTGGCAAACCTTACAACTGCGAACATACTCTACACAGACATTCTTCATCCCCGGCCAGGTATACGCGCGCATCAGATTGGCTAAAGTCTTTTGCCAACCGAAATGACCCTCTGTGTCGTGGCATTCCCCCAAAATCAAACTACGGATCTCTTCGCTATTGGGGATGCACAGCCGGTCAAAAACATTAGTCTTCTAAAAAAGCAACCCCTCAGTAGTGCGGTAGTTCGGTTCAGTCTCTGGGGCCTCCTTGACCTTCTTGAGGAGGTCACTGTAGATAGGGTCCTGCGCGTAGGCTTCTCTAACCTTCAGCTGCAGATCCTTCCCTATATCGAGGTAATGTACTATTGACCCAAAGTAATCAGCTCTTCTACTCAGAGCATCCGCGACTATGTTGTACTTCCCTTTGACAGGCTTGAGCTCGAAGTCGTACTGATCTATCTCTGCGGCCCACCTAGTAAGCTTAGGTGTCATCTTGGCCTGCGTCTTTAACCATCGTAACGTTTCATGGTTGGAATAGACTTTGAAGTGCCTCCCAAGCAAGTAGTGTTTCCAGTGGTCTAAGGCTTGTCTGAGAGCGTAGAGTTCCCTCTCATAGGTAGATGCCGCAACCTTCTCTGAAGGCATTCTGGCGGACATGAACTCTACGGGTCTATACCCATTGCCATCGTCTTGCTGTAACACTGCGCCTATGCCGTATTGACTCGCATCGGTCGTGACGACAAAGGGCAAGGACGGATCGGCGACTTTAAGGACTGGATACTCTATCAATGCCTGCTTTAACTTCTTCATGGCAGACGTGCAGTCCTTATCCCACTTCCAGATGGTTTCCTTTCTCAACAATCTGTGAAGGGGCGCAGCGATGGTAGAGAAGTTCCTCGCGAACTTCCGGTAGTAATTAGCTAAGCCCAGGAACGAACGTAACTCTGTCAGCGTACGTGGCATGGTCCAATCTCTAATCGCTGCGATCTTGCTATCCTCTGGCTTAACGCCGTCTCCGTCTAAGACGTGGCCTAAGTAAAAAACTTGGGTTTTCGCCCAATCGCACTTCTTTGCATTGATCTTGAAGTTAGCTTCCCTCAGCTTCTCCAAGACCTGCCTGAGATGACCCTGATGTTCTTCGAGGGTCCGGCTAAACACAAGAATGTCATCTAGGTAAACTACAACAAATTTGTCTAACCACGGCCTAAACAAATCATTCATACAGCGCTGGAATGTAGCTGGCACATTGGTTAGTCCAAAGGGCATCACTATGAACTCGTAGTGCCCATATCTAGTCCGGAAGGCTGTCTTATACTGATCATCAGGTGCACTTCTATCTGATGATATCCGGACTTCAAATCTATCTTGGAAAAATACTTTGCCCCCTGCACTCGATCTAAGAGATCGTCTATCCTAGGCAGTGGCTCAACATTCTTTACGGTAATAGCATTCAAACCCCTATAGTCTATGCACATTCTCAACTCTCCCTCTTTCTTAGGAACGAAGAGAACAGGCGCTCCAAAAGGAGACGAACTGGGCCTAATCCAACCCTTCTCGAGGAGCTCGTCTAATTGCCTGCGAAGCTCCTCTAACTCCTGCGGGGACATCCTATATACAGCGCCCTTAGGAGTTCTACTGCCAGGCTCTATCTCAATGCGGTGCTGGATGGGGCGCGATACTACTCCTATCGGCGGCTCAGTTAGATCCTTGAACTCTTCCAGCAGCTTGGCAATCGTAGGGTCCATCGGCTTTTCTTCCGTAGGCTCAGTCACTGGCCTAACATAGGCAACAAAAACCTGTTCCTCTAATTTCTCCTTTTTCACCAACCTGGCGAACGCAGGAGCACTAAGACAGCAATGTGCCAAGGGATTCTCTACTCCTGACACATGGAACAGGCGGGCAGTCCTGGCCTCGCCTGAAGAGCTAGGGAGCCTACACTCGTGCTCCTTCAAATGGAGCGTGGCCCCGGCTGCCTCTCCCCAATCCATTCCCAGGACAATATCAAATGGGAGGCTGTCTTCTACGAGGAGAGTAAGGGAGTGGAGAACCTTCTCCACTTTCCCATCTTTCTCTAGGCGGAAATACGCCTGGACTCCCTCTACGTAATCCTCTACAACCATGCTACGGTTGTCTGCGAGGATACTAACTATGGGGTCTGTCAATTTCTGGACTTTAAGTCCCAGCCTCAACTTCTGCAGCGCTTTCTTACTAATATAGCTACGGGTGGCCCCTGAGTCTACTAGGGCCCCTACTCTACCTCTAAAAATCTTTGTATCTAGTAAGATCAGCTGCCCTTTATTCTCCTTCTTCATCTTGGCCCAGGCGGGCCTCCTCTCCTTCAACTCTTCGGCTACGCCTGTGAGGGAGGTGTCTAGAGAGACCCTAATACAAGCAGTCTCTGGGCAGCTATCTAGACACCGGCCTGCAACCTTTGCCATAGGCACATGTGGTGTGGGAGTCTCCTGCTGGCTAGCGCTATGTTCCCCACATGGCCTAGTGGTAGGGGCAGTTGCTACCCCTACCGGCGGCTGCCTTTTGGCCCTTGAGCAGCCGTTCGGGTCTCTCGATACTTAGGACAATATTTGATGATGTGGCCCGGGTCACCGCAGAAAATGCACTAGCCTTGGTCCAATCGTTGTTGCCATAAAGTCTGGTCCAGACCCAAAGTTTCCCAAGGAGTACCCTGCGGTAGCCCCGGGTGCCATCCTCCTACCCTATAGGGAGACCTATTCCTAGGACGGTTTTGCGGGGGACCTTGACCCCTGCCTCCCGCTTGGCGGTTTCCTCCTCTACCGCCAACCCCCTGATCGCCCTGAAACCGGCTCCCTGAGGCCTGACCCCCTTGGCCCTGGCCTCGTCCTCCTTGCGGCCTCCCTCCAGCCGCGACAGCAGCGTAAGTCCTCCCCTGGCCCACACCGTCGTCCTCCTCCTCTAACCCCCACTCAATCTGATCGTAGGGGATCTCGTCCACACTACCCTCATCTAAGGTTAGGACAAGGCTATCCTTGGTTTTTACCTGCCCTGAGATAGTGCGGCCCTTCCATTGCTTCCCTCTATCTAAGTCCTTGTGCCAGAAGGTGGAGACTGACATGGACTTGGCCTCGAAGGCCACCACCTCACGACTAAGAGAATCGTACGTAGTGGCAGGGTCTTCGCTCTTTGCGAAGAAATGCGCTCGAAGGGCTTCAGGTATAGCCCGATAGAAGAGGCCGACCAACTGGGTGTATGTAACCCCATGGTCAGGGACAGCCACTAACTCATCCATTGTACTCTTAAGGGCCCTGACACTCTTCCACTTACGAGAGTGGATCGTCTGCAGCCTATCTGAGGCTTTAACGCTGCGGGCGACATCAGCGAACCTCTCGCGCAACAACTTCAAGAACTCAGTGAGGGACGTGAACGAGGAATACGCAACGGGATCGTCACTACAGTTAGCAGCGCGAACAAGGGACCTTGCAAAACTGGCGGCCTCATCTCTCAGCGCGTGGATCGCAATTAGGACCTGCTGATCCGGGGAGACCTGTTGCAAATGCACATAGGTCTTGACATTGGTCTCCCAATTGTCAAAGTTCTCTTCCCGTTTTCCACTGTAGGAATCAGGGAATTTGACTTTGGCCGGCTCCCGGTGAGGAGGACGTGCTTCCTCCTCCTTGGGAGCTGCCGCTTTAACACCTTCAATGGCGCCGACACAAAATCGCTAAGTCTTATCGAGGCGGTGACCCACCTCGGTTCCTACAGCGCCTACCAGCTCGCGAGCAAAGTCCCGGAATCCCAATCGTATCGAACGCACAGCTATGTGCTGGCTCCTACTAAAGTCGTATTGCTCTGCCTGAATTCGTGCCAGGCGTGCAACATTTGAGCGATGACTCGCATTTGGGCTGGGAGTTCAGTCTGGGCGGCTAGTTGCTCTTCTATATTTTTTACCTCCTCTAATTCTTCTGCCGCCTCCGCTACCGCGTCCACTCTCCTCTTCTTTTCCCTCATCACTGCCAACCTCCATTCCATTCTCTTCTCATTTTTCATTGCCTGCCGCTTCACAACATCTTTTTTTGCTTCCCAATCTCTCATAGCGGCTTCCTGATCGTCCTTAGGGATATACATCGCCACCTCCTCTTCTTCGCCCAGGGATAAGTTGGCGACCCACTCTGAAATCCGCTTCTCCATCTCCTCATCCCTACTGCCACTATACTGCCCCTTCTTCCTCTGCAGCGGCGTTTCATCTTCTTCCTCCTCTTCCACCTCTTTCAACTTTTCTTCCTCTTCTTTCTGTATCCTCTCCTTCTCTCTGGCCATCTCTTCTTCTATCTTTTTCAATTTGGCCGCCTGCTCCTCCTTCAAGGCCTTCTTCTTGGCCTCCTTCTTCTCCTTCCTCTCCTGCAGAATGGCGGCCATCTTCGCCTCCTCCTCCTTCATGTATGGCTCGGTGGAGGCACCACCCCGGGTATCTACTCTACGCGTGAAGGTGTGCCAGAACCCCAGAGGAAAGAGGAGGCGCCAGAGGGTCCCCCAAAGAGAGAACCCAACCAGCAACCCATACATCGGATAGTCATCCATCGTGGCGTCAGGTGCACGATAATGTCCCACTCCTCACCCACTTAGACCTACCCGGACACACTGACCTACTGACTGACTCTCTAGGATCCACTGCTCACAACTAAGGCTGTCACTACTGAACTAACAGCTGATCAGGAGGCATTTAAGGAGATCCCCCAAACTCCTCAAGAATTCTTTAACGTCGCAGTCAGGACGACGTGATCAGCGTAGTTCTTCCTGGCGATTTCAACCCACAACTCAGCTGTTCCGGCCTACTGTGCCACACCGAGCAGCCCGCCGGTCTGTACCGGTCCTTGGAGGGGTTCGTATCCCTCGGGACAGTCGAGTCGTCAGACACAGATCATCAGCCTTACTGCGTCCGGTAGGGGAGTGGTTCAACCAGGCCTCAACACTTAAAGACGGCCTTCGTTTCAGCCTGCAGCTCAGAGTTCAGACCCTCTTCACTGAGCTCAGTAGACCTGCCGGACAGTACCGGTCATTGGGCTAGACGAGTTGTTTAACGAGCGCTCGCCGCTCATGCCCAGGTCTCCCGATGCCAGAGTAGAGATTAGTCCTACTAAGTCCCGTGCAGGTTTGGCAGCAAGGCCCTATCCTTCATCCACAGAGTCCTATCACCTAAGACAGAAGAGACTCAATGTAGAAAGGAAAGACAAACAGACTCAAACTCAGCAAGTGTCGTAGGGTGAGTGCACATCCACAGGGTAAGGGGATAGGCTAAGGGCTCAGCGAGATACCACCAGCTCCAGCTTGGTCAAAATCTTGGTCAGCAGCTCCGGTCAACGCCTTGGTCAATGCTGAGTCAACGCGGGCAACCCCAAGTCAACGCTTGGTCAACACCCTCGGTCAACGCCTGGTCAACCCTTGGTCAACCCTCTGGTCAACCCTCTGGTCAACACTCTGGTCAACGCCCGGTCAACCCTTCACCTCGGCTATGGCTGCCGGCACCTTCACCCTCGTCGCCCTCGCCGTCTATTTCCCCTTGCTTCACTTTCTTTCTTCTTCTTCTCTATCCTTTTTTTTTTTTTTTTTTTTCACCCCCGGCTATGTCTGTCTTCTTCTTCAATCTCCTCCTTCCACAGTTCTTCTTCTCTCTCCTTAAGTCCCTCCTTCTCTGTCCTCCCTTTCTCTCTCCTCCGGTACTCTGTGTTGATGCTCCGCGGCTATGGCCGCTGTCTTCCTTCTCCACCGGACTCCACAACTTGCCTTACAGGTAAGTGACAACCAATCTTGGATCGCTCATCTCTCTCCCTCTCTCTCTCTCTCCGTAGCGGTATCTTCAGCGCAGCAGGTAACCAATCTTGTATCACTCATCTCTCTCTCTCTCTCTCTCTCTCTCTCTCTCTCTCTCTCTCTCTCTCTCTCTCTCTCTCTCTCTC